AGAAGCAAAAGGATTGTTCAGATACATGTAAATTTTCCTAACTATCTTTATGTTTAAGCTACTGATTATCTGATATTCTGATTATCTTATTATGACTCTTTAAGAAGCAATACTCACATTAAGAACACACATCCAAACACCCTCAAACTTTATATGCAATGAAATCACAAGCATCCAAAAGTGTGGAAGGACAAATATTTATACAGATGCATGATGACAGGTCTTGATATTTCTCTACAAGATTTATATTTTTGAACATGTAATGCATATCAATGATCATTCAACAGTAGCAACAGGCAAAGTGTCAAAAACAACCATACAATTATGCTATTGATAATTATCAAGAGACACCAAGATTCTAAGTTCTAAGATAACAACAGTAATTAAAACGAAAATGTGTAAGAGATCAACAATCACCCTTTTGATTTCCAATGTTCTTTTGAACATTTAATGCATATCATTGAACATTCAACAACACACAAACAGGCAAAGTGTCCAAAAACAACCATGGAATTATATGCTAATTATCAAGAAAATCTTGAATTCTAACACAAATTACAGTGATTAAGGAAAAGGAGTATGAGATGAATGATCACCCGTTTCAAGTTCAAGGTGCTTTTGGATCAGTCCCATGTTGCCAAACATAAGCAAATTCATCCCATCCAGTGCTTGCTAATAACCCTTCAACAAGAACACTCATATCAACCCCAACTGCAAATTCTGTATGATGATCATAACGCCCAATCAACGAATCCTCCACCATATAATCCCACAAACAAACAGTCATGTCATATGAACATGACGCGATTACACTTGCTCTATGGGGTGAAAACTTAACTTTTCTCACTGCATATCCATGTCCATTCAATACAGCTACAGGAACTCTGTAATTTCTTACATCCCATACCTTGATTGATTTATCAACCGATGAAGTCGCGATCACTGCATCATCGTATTTGTTCCAATCACATGATAAAATTTCAAATTCGTGAGCAGGGAGGATCATTGTTGACCCCGGCTCACGCACATCCCATATCCGGGCAGTGCAATCGCCGGACGCCGACGCAAAAACATCTGCGTGACGGGGGTTCCACGCGGCGGAGTAAACACAATACGCATGTTCTTTAAACGTACGGACGGAGGTAGGTCGATCGATTGTCCAGAGCTTGATGGTGTCGTCCCAAGAGGACGATAGAAACGAGTCTCGACGGACGGCGTTGTAGTCAACCGAGTGGGTTTCGCGGGTGTGTTCGGAGAGGGATCGGACTGGATTGGAAGTAGGTGGGAGGGAGAGGTCGTATAGCTTGACCGAACCATCGGCGACGGCTGCGACTAAGAGTGAATCGTGAGATTCTGACCATGAAACGTCGTAAACACCATCCGCGGTATCGTAGGCGGCGATTTCGGCGATCGGTCCGGCGGGAGAAAGGTCGATTACGTGAATCCGTCCATTGCCAAGGATGCCAAAGTTTTGAGCGGTGGCGACCGCGAGTCGTTGCTCGTAAAAGGGGCTGAACTTTACGGCGTAGCCGTTGAACGGGGTTTTGAATGCCGGCATGGTTGAGTTGGGGTTCCGGTGACGGCAATGGTGCCCTTGGAATATGTGTTTTATCTGGAACAGTTTAACGCCATCGGAATATTTGATAGACTAAATTACATTTTGGGTCCACGTGGTCTACATCTATATCTATATGTAATTTTAGTCTAATTTTTAAATTTTTAACATAACTCGTCCATATAATTTTTAAAACTTGTACTAAATGGTCCCTGAGATTGTTACGGTTAGGACATTAATCCTCGGTTTTTAAATAGCATAGGGTATCCGCCGCATTTGGCAAGAACCGGAACCGGCGGTTCCTAGAAAGTTAGAACCGGAACCGGAACCGTTCTAGGCGGTTCTTAAACTTTTGGAACCAGTCTCGGAACCGGTAGTTCCGATTCCGGGAGCGGGTAACCCGGTTACATTAACTTTGTTAACTTTTGCCGATAAAACCGCAACGTAGTTCGATCCAAATCGAATAAATTCAGACCAAAGAGGGACAAAATCATACCAATATATTCTAAACCAGTCTTAGTAACACACACACACACACACACACACACATATATATATATATATATATATATATATATATATATATATATATATATATATATATATATATATATATAACGGTTATTAGCGGGTACCCAAGGGGTAACGGTTCCGAAAAAATGAGAATTGGAACCGAAACCGAAACCGCTTAAGGCAGTTTTAGTTCCAGAACCGTTAGTTCCGAGGCAGTTCCGATTCCAAAAGCGGGTACCGGTTCCGATGCTCATCCCTACTTCTAAATGACCATATTACCTCTACTTTTTCTTTTTTTTCTTTTTTTTTATCATGGTTTGACATGTTACTATGAACACCACACCACCAACGACCATCGACTTCACCATGTCTCTTTCTATTCAGCCCACCACCATAATCACCAATCACCTCCAACCCTAAAATCATCACCATCTAAGATTGCTCATAACTTGGTAAAGCTAAATATGAAAATAATAAGTCCAAAAAGTTTGAAAAACTTAGGTTCACTAATCTAATTGAGAATTATCAGTTTCATTTCATTATAACTGATCATTACCATCGCTATCAAATTATGAGTGGTCCCATTGAATTCCTAACCAAAACTAAGTTCCACGACTCATGAGAATTAATCAAGAGGATTTGATTTATCACCACAATCAAATAGAGTTCCATAGCCTAAAACTAAACCAAATTAAAATCCTAGCTTATAAGTCAAATCAAATTTAGAAATAGGAAAGACAAAATTTAATCAGTCATGGGAAAGATAAAATTTAAAATCAAAATCAGATGGATATAAGGATAGATGTGTTGGGTCCTACCGAAAATTACATGCAAGATAGAGAATGGTGGTTTTAACATCAGCATTGAAGGCAAGATTGGTTGGATTCAGCCAAAAGTTATAGGGGAAAAAAGATATGGGGTATTGGAATTGTCAACCACATTGTAGAGACACCATTAGGCTGAGGGAGTTGTAACATCTTTAGCATGTTGTCACATAGGATTTTTTAAGGTCATATAAGATTTTTTTGAACCATGTAGGATGAAAAGATACAAAAATATAGGGAGTGGTATCACCCTAATCTTATGTTATTTTTATTCTTATGTTATTTTTATTTTGAAAAAAAAAATGAAAAAAAACAGAAACCAATGAGAGGCTTTCATCTTCCAACCTTTTTCTCTTTCCTATGGCTAGCAAGTTGGTGATTTTCTTGTGGTAAGAATCTTAACACTTTTGTAAGGAGTGGGCTTAGCACCCTTTGTGAGTTGGAGGCGAGCCACTCCCTCCAGCCTTAGAGTTGTTGGCCACATCAGAGCAAAAACATGTGAAATGATTATCTCGATTGTATGATAGGGATTTTAGGGCTTTTTTCAAATTATTCAAAAATATTCCTTTAAGTCTAAAGGTAGTGGTTGTGTGTGCCTTAGCATGCCAAATCATATTTTTGCATGCCACCTAAGCATAGCATCATACCAGGGAGTGGTGATATGCTATTTGATTTTGAAAAAAAAAAAATAAATAAAAATAAAAAATAAAAAACCCCGATCACAACATCTCATTTCTATCTATCTTCTCTTTCCTCATGCTATCTATAGTATCCAACGGCGAGCATTTCTTAGCGTAAACCCTTAGCACATGCTAAGGGGATGGTGTTAGCGTATGCCAAAGAAGTTGGCGAGGAGCTTGGCACATGTCACTACTTGCAGTCTTAGCTAGTAAAATCTCAAAATATCATAAAACACAAAGATAGGGGTATAAATGTCATTTTAAACGTACTTAACAGATGAGAATTGACGGTAACAACCTTAGGGACCACATATAAAAATTTTGAAAACTACAAGGACAAGCCACACAAGGACGAAAACTGTAATACAAAACAAAACAAGTTTTCTAATGTGATATTCGGTGTTGTTTTCCCTCCTTGATGTTGAGGGTTCAAGTCATATTGTGGATATAGATGAAATAATTTATGAGTGGTTTAATATATATATTTATATTTGTTGTTAAAAAAAAAAAGCTATGACTAGACAGATAAAGACGTTATGCATATTACATATAATCTACGTTTCGATTAAATTTTCAAAACAAAAATAAAATATGCACAGAACAGTTGAATTAGAAGCTATGAAACTTTCTTGACATTATTAGGTTATCTTGGTAAAGATATATTTAGAGCATTTTTCATAATAACAAATTTTAATCTTATGATTAATGTGTGTAATGAGTTATCGAAGATAAATAGACCAAAAAAGTTATACTATTAAATTCAGTTATTACATTAAAATCTCATATAATCATTTTTAGGTCGGAAAATGAAAATTAAAAGATTCAAGATCAATGATGTATTTTTGTGGAGATGAGATGGATGATATCGAATTAGATATTGGAATATGGTAAATATTCTTACAAGTATACAAAATGTTTCTAATAAAATTATTTGAATAAAATACACTAATCCGAATCGGTCCATTCATAGGCAGATGAGAATAAGGGGTTATATGACAATTGTTAATTAAGATTTATTTGATCGAGTCATATGTAACTGAGTCAAGGTTTCTTTGAGTTAGATTCAACCTCTCTTATCAAACCTAATAAGAGACATATTAGAGGTTATAGCACAAAATCAAGAAGCTTCTAATTGTAGTATCAAACAATCTGAATTTGACCGAATCACACCTAACCAATGGTAGATCTAGGATTTAAATAGATTGGGAGAAAAATATGTTTATTCATATTACACCAAAAAAAAAAAGGCCATGTCAAACGGTTCATTTTTTAGTTTACTCTATTATTTACTCCTTTTTTTTTTTTTTGTCGGCTGGCTATGAACGTGAACAATCGAGAGACATAAGGTGATCCATTAAAGTTCAATCAAACACCTCCTAATTTACCACCTCCATTTACAAATAAACATTGATTGCTTAGACATAGTAACCATATCCAAATCATTCAAATTAATTGACTAGCTGCATTTGGTAACTCAAACACAAGTCACTCTTTAAACTATAAAGATAATATTTACATAAACTTTCTATCTAGTTTAGGCTTTTGAATGTCTTTTAAGCTTACATTTATTCATTTGGATGCTAAGAAAGCAAATCAGTTGCTAGTAATGCAAAAATGTTTAAATGTTGTTGATCAAAATTTGAAGTATTGTACTTGCAGATCTTTATCCAATCATTTTGTTCATGTTTGAAACCCACCTGAAACAACACATCGTCTATAATACAACTAAATTACTAAAATTAAAATAGTTTCCACCCAAAATCAATGGTAAAAACCTCATTCCAACACCAAAAGACAAAACAAACAGCTTTTTTTTCATTGCCCTAAATATCATGAAGCTCAATCTCAAATAAAAATGAGGAAATGCTTGATTTTTTTTTTCTCTAAGACTTGTAAAAATTTTACTTACAATCCAAAATATTAAATCAGCATCTCACAGCTCATTAAGCGTGACAAAATTTCTTCACAGTTAGGTCGTTGATCTGGTTCTGCCCAACAATCTGAAAGAATATAAAATAAAGAAAGAAGTCAAGAAGGACTTAATAGAGAATATTTGTTTCTTAATTTTTTATTGCATACCTGATATTAGGTTTCCCAAAGGACCTTCAGGAATTTCAAGTCGTGTTCCATCATTACCAACTGCACGAACCACCTGTAACAAATATGTTTTAATCATCATTTATCCAGACAACACTTTATACAGACAGAAAACAAAAAATAATAAGAAGCAAGGGCTTACTTGGGCTGATGGGACACCTTCCCATGGTCTCTGAAGAGTACATAGCTCCCAAATTATGACACCGAGGCTGAAAATATCACATTTTTCAGTAAAGGGTTGATTGCGAATGAGTTCGGGTGCCATCCACTCTGGAGTCCCTGCAGACGAACAATCTCTCATGTTTGCGGTTGTTAGTACCCGTGACAGCCCAAAATCACAAATCTTTACTATCCAATGCTTATTCACTAAGCAATTCGCGCTTTTCAGATCACGGTGCACTATTTTCATTCGATGCATACACATTAGACCCCTATACACATCCAAGTAAACAAACAAACCATTATTACCATTCTCTAGCAAATGCCTACACTACAAACACATAGATGATAGACCTTGTTTGTATGCAGGATACGACAGAACAGGTTGTACTGTGTTTGGCATGCATTAGACTGGGACCGAGACCGATGTCAATGAGACAAAATTGCATTTTTTTTGTCCCAATTAATAAGCTGGTACAAGGTGAGACATGGACTCGCTCTTGATCTCTTGGTTGTGAAAAAAGACGTAAATGCCCTCCTCATCCTTATCATCGAAAATAGCCTAGGACTGGACGGGATTGGACAAGCTTTCCAGGGCTATTTTCGATGATAATGATGAGGAGGGCATTTATGTCTTTTTCACTAACAAGAGATCAAGAGTGAGCCCCTGTATCACCTTGTACCAACTTCTTAATTGGGACAAAAAATGCAATTTTGTCCCATTGACATCGGTCTCGGTTCCAGTCTAATGCATGCCAAACACAGTACAACCTGTTTTGTCATATCTTGTCATGCATAACAAATGAGGAATAAAAATGGAGGTTTAGGATCATACCTGCATATATCACACAGCATTTTGAGTCTTCTTCGCCAGCTGATTCTCTTTTTTAACCCACTCACATGAATCAGGTAATATAGTGACCCCATGTCCATGTATTCAGTGATTAATGAAAAGTGAGGAGGCGTTGTACAGGCACCAAGGAATAATATAACTGTGTCAGATAGCAAAAAAAAATTACATAAATGTGTGGGCATCTACAAACAAGAAATATAATATGCTAAAATAAATCTTATCTGAATTAAAAAGACTGTAATACCATTTGGGTGGCGAAGTCGACTGCAAAAGACGTATTAAAAAAAAAAAAATCAGCTACAGAGTAGACAATAGAGTTTTTCAGACTGAAGGTGAAGGAAAGCTGTGTGAAAGGTACCTTAATATGGAAATCTCATTGCAAAAATCTTCAATATTTTCAGCACTTACTTCCTGTTCAAGTAACACTTTAATAGCAACCTCTATTCCATTCCAAGTACCTCGGAAAACTTCCCCAAAAAACCCTACAAGATAACATGTATTTATGATGATGATGATGATGATGATGATGATGATGGTGATGGTGATGGTGATGATGATGATGAGGGATAGTACCTATGCCAACACGTGAACCAACAGTGAGTTCAGAAAAGTCAATATTCCATTCATGATATGGAAACCATGGTTCATTCCCAATGGAGGAAGATTCAAGTAACTTATTCCATGCTGTGATCATATCAAAATTTCCTTCTAATTTTTCAGTTCCATTTTTATCAGAACCAAGAACACGAGTCCTATACTTATGAGGAGATGAAGGTAAAGAGATAGCTTTTGGACAACTCGTTTGCCTCCTATGGTTATGTGAACCAGATGCCTGAAATCATCATCAAATTCCATAAACAAACTAAAAGATTAAACATTAAAGCATCCGTTTTACTAACAAAAAAGATACACATACATTTTCCTGATGATCTGGACTAGTGCTATGTTCATCAACAAGTTCCCTTGGAGGATGATTTCTCTTCAAAGTATCATTCATTGCTCTCACAACCCTATTTCCATAATTACACCATTTATCAAATCTATCAAAAAGTTCATATTTAAAAACCAATAATTAATCATAGATGATTAGATTCAGGGTTAATGAAATATCAACCTTACAATGTCATCACCAATTTCTGGAATCATAGTAGCACTACTTCTCCTTCGTCTTCTTCTACTTCCTGTAGGTGATGCCCCTGCTGACCTGGAATTACTCATCAAATCCATCAAATAGAATATTAAAATACAAAATTTAATTGACATTTTGCATTAGATTAAAAAAAATAAAAAAAAACCTTGATACTGTCATGCCATGTCCATATCCTTTGGGAGAATCTTTATGACCACCAAGCATAGATCTTCCATGCCCTCTAAATAAATAATGCTCTGGACTGAAAGTAAAACATAAAACAAACATGATTTGTTGATTTAAATGTTTTATAGTTTAAGCATAAGGACGGAAATACCCTTGAACAAAAGAGGGAAAGAGAGAACCTTGAACTGGGTGTGCTTTGTTCAGCAAGTGCATTTTTGTTGCGCCCCCATGTTGCATTTGCTGCATTAGGGTCACTGTAAAATATAATAAAAGATTTAACTACAAAAAGTAATTTTATATCACAAAACACAAGCTTTCTAGGGCTATTTCTGATCATGAGGATGAAGAGGGTATTTACATCTTTTGCACAAGTGAGATATCAAGGGCGGATTTTATAATTTATACTGCTGACATCAGTCTCAGTCCAAGTCCAATGCACACCAAACATAGTAAAACTTGTTCTGTTTTGTGTAAGACATGGTATGATGCTGTAAAATTACTTTATTACCCTTCATCTGTGTTTTCTGCAGCACCATGTACAGGGCTGTTGGGTTCAATAGGCGAATCACATGAGTCATTTTCTCCAGAATCACCTTGACCAATGACATACACATGAGACATGTATACTGCCTTGGTTGAAAAGGGTACCAAATGTCCTGGATACCTCACTATATCAACCAGTAATTCAGTAGAATTCAGCTCCACAATAACAGACACGTGTCTGTGTGAATCTGTTCTCTCTGATTCTGCTTCCTTTGGTAAACCCTGCAATCAGAAAAAAAGAGAGAGAGAAATAATGATATATAATGAAACCACAAGGCTATTTCTTGCATTTAACACTAAATTAAGTGGCATGATAATGCAAAGATTGAATGAAAAAAAGAAAAAGGAGAACATACCACCATAACCCTACAGTCAAGGCCAACAGTATCTGCAAGAACTTTGAAAAGAATAGCACGGGGATGACAAAAACCATGCTTTATTTGACCTAGCATCTGAATACCTTGATTATGTACATTGTAGACTTCCTCCCAAGCAGTTTTTGCATAATTTAACTCCACATTTGGGAGTTTATAGAAGTCACAAACCTACAAAAAGGACATATTATCAAGGGTGAATCGACTAATAAAACTAATGGTATGTTTGGTTGAATGGAATAGAAAGGAAAAGGAATGGAATGAATGACTCTAGTTCTTTCATGATTCCATCATACCAAACACTACATAGATAAATATTGGAATGAGGTAGGTAGCATTACTTACCAATCCACCTATCTTTTTAATTACTGCAGCTGGATTAGAAGTCAACCCTTTTGCCAAAGTCAAAGCCAGCTGCTGTAACATTGACACCTTTTTATCTTTATGCATATCAACAACAATAACATTGAGCCTAAACCCCTCTGATTCTAACACATGAAGCTCTTCAAGAGAAGGGATCATGTCATATTTCTCTTTGAGTCTTTTTTCCTGTATAAGAATATGGAAACATGTTGAGAATGTTAGATGTGAGGTGAAGCTGTATTATGTGGATGTTTTAATGAGAATTTGGACACCTTACAGGTAAAATAGAATAGAATCCACTAGGAATTGGCTCATAAAGATTTCCAGTTGACCAAAGGGCTTGTGACACTCTTTGTGCTCCTCCTGAATCCGCCAGGTGGCGATCACTGTGCATTCTTTTAAATTTAAGAGCCCCATCTGAAGAAGAAGAAACAGATTTATTCCTTGATTCGTTTTGAACAGTGTCTGTTTGTGTTTCCTCCATATCCTTGGCAATTCAGAGCATAAGATCATTTTGCCCCACTTCTTAACATTAATCAAGTGTCCTACATGAACTCCTTTCTACAAAATTCTTCAAGGGGTGCTAAAGTTAGTCTTTCATGGATGGAGACATCATTTGGCCTGTTAATGAACAACATGATAAAGAGCTAAAAACTGATCTCAATCCAAAACCATTTTCATTGAACCATTATAATATGTAAAAACAAAACTAGAGGAACAGAAAGAAATCATGTAACCCTTCAGTTTTTCAATTCCTTTATGGGTATTGCATTTTTACAAACACCTGGTATGCACTACGCACCTTTACATTTCCCACAGAGATAAAACCAAAAACCCATTCACCAAACATTACCAATATCCAAAGAAAGTATTCTACATATATATACCCATCAATGGCGATGCAAATCAACGAGTAAAAACGCCCATAAGATTGTTAGATAACAAAAAAGAAAAGTAATGACGGAGAAACCCATAACGAATATGCAATAGAAACAGGATAAAAGATCGAATGTACCAGTAAATCTCTAGGCATTTGAATCGTTAAACAATATTTCTTCAAATCTGATCACTCCTCACTGTTCTTTTCCCTTGTAGTTCGTGATATATGCTTAATTTCAACTCTATTAGAGAGAGAGAGAAGTGTAAATTTTCTGTTAATCTTGTAAATCAGCCGTTAACGACCCGGTCGACAAAATTATAATAATAAAGATTATGTCACTTGGAGACTTGTATTGTATTATTGAGTGTAAATTAAACAGTATGAGACACTGCGATCGTAAATATAATATTAAATACTCTCAGATTAATGTTACCCACGAGTCCACGACAAGCGAATCAGATCAGGCCTCAGTTTGGGCCTATCAATCGTCTCAAAATTCACCACGACTTTCATGGTATTTGGCATTTCTTCATCAAAATCAACGAAAAAGTTCATCTTTTGGATTATATTATTTCACATATTTTAAACTTGTAAAGAAAAAACAGTTCAGCATTGACCATTCAAACACTGATGTGTGCTAATTTGGTACATACGCTGCTAAGCATGCCTAGTCGCCAACTTGTGATCAAGAATTTGTAAATTCAACCTCTATGTGATATGTTTTATATATATTTTTTAACGGCATATAGATATAATATGATTCATGTATTATTAAGCCAAAGAAGTTTTATACTTAAGGGCGTTTGGGATTATTTAAGATGCTTATTGGTTTAGTGTATTTTGGCACTACTAATAAGCATTTTTAAGGGGAAGTGATTTATACATAATAGTTTTTTGAAATACACAACAATTTATGCATTATATAGTTGTACAATATAACATTTTAAAACATTAATTGTTGTGTATGAAGATAAATTGTTGTATACAAATCATCTCTCATTTTAAGTGTTTGGATATAATAAAACTAAAAGTCCTTATTGGCTTAAATATTTGAAGTTTTAAATAAGTGATTAGGTTCTAATTTTCTTAGAATAAGTGATTAGGTTCTAATTTACTTAGAATGTGTTTGACAAAACTAGTTTGAAACTAATAGATGATAGTTGGTAGCGGAAGATGAAAGTTGTATCTTTATTTGTTATATGAGTGTATACTAAAGTAGCTGAAAGCTTTTGAAATTTATAAAATTATATAAAAATAATTGTTTAAATATTTAAACATATAAATATATTTTTAAGCATAATTCGGAAAATTTATTAAAAAAACTCGATAGCTTTTTTTTTAAAGTTACATGAGTTAGTTTTTTTTAAAAGCTATATGGAGTGGCTTTTAGATTTTGAGTTTTTTATTTAAACTAAAAGCTAAATGTTCGTAGAGCTCCTAAACGAAAGTTTTTGTTTAAATCGAGTTTTTTGTTAAATGCTAAAAACTATAAATTCTCAAAGTCATTACCAAACACGCCCTTAAACAACTTATGACTTATTTAAACCAATTTTCAACTGTTAAAAAACATATTTACACCAATTTACTGTAATGCCCTATTTTATTTCTATATTGGAACATATATCATCTCAAAAGATTTGCTTGCATCTACGGGTTAAACTTTTGAAAGTTAAATAATATATTATTGATGTTTTTAATATTTATGGTTTAATTAGGCTTGGTTTCATTATTATTGTTATTATTTTGAGCTGTTAAATATATTAAACGAACCATATGTTATTAAAAAATAAACATTGTAAAATGATAAAATAAAAAAATGGGTTTTGAAGTTAACTGACTCGACCTGCTTTAAGTTTAGTGTTACTATGCATACCACGTAAAAATCAAATCCCTTATTAGGTGTAGTCGAGACCAAAAAACATTAAAAAAAAATAAAAATAAAAAATCACTTCTAAACTTCCAAATGCACCGCCAAATAGTTATAAAAAAATAGTCTTCACTCCAACACATTTATCGTAGATAAATAGCCTTCAGGGTTTTACACTCTATTTAAACATCTTAACCACCTTAACCTAGCCTTAACTTCAGCCTCCATTGTCCCAAACCCTAGCCACGAAACCCTAATTCACTTTTGAGTGTTTTGGGTCATTTTTGTGCATTCTTTGTGAATTTGAAAAAGAGGATTCTTGAAGAAGGAACAAGGACGTGAAGGAGAAGAGTAGATCCATAAGTTGAGCTCCATTTCTGGTTCATTTGAGGTATAAAACTCCTATCTTGTCTATTCAATGTTTAGATCTAGTTTTAGAGTGATTTCTCCATGTTTTGGTCCAAGAATGTTAATATTTGGAACTTAGACGTCCAATGTGGGAAAACCCTTCATATCTAGGGTCTTTAGGGGACTTCATGGCATAAAGGTACCAACTTTATGGTCATGAAGGTCCCATGCAACTTATGAACCATCCTTTTTGGCCTTTTGAGCCAAGTAGTCCATGCATGCAAGGAAAGATAGGAACTTTATGTGATATATCATCCCTAGGGGACCAGATCTATGGTTTGGAAGCATTGAACTCGATTGGAAGTGACTAAATGGATTTAGACTAAGAGAACTCGACGAGTTGTTCATCTAACTCGACAAGTTAGATCGTGGTCCCCCGACCTTTTCTGTTTACTGAGCACATTTGGCAAGTCTACCAGATGACTCAGCGAGTTGGCCAAGGTTTTTGGGTTTTGAAGACTGCAGAACTCGACGAGTTGTATTGAAAAGTCTCGACTCTGTTATAGGGAGGAACTCGATGAGTTCATGAAAGAACTCAACGAGTTGGATCGCGATTCCAAGGTTGTATGGATTATGGAACTCGGCGAGTTGAGTCAACCCGGAAGGTTGACTTTGACCAGAGTGTTGACTTTAACTTTGACTTTGAGCAAAGTTGACCCTTAAGGGGTCATGAGTATGGAAGGATAATTAAAGGAAATGTTTATGTGTAGGAGTTTGAGAGGGGTTTATTTCAAAGCAGGAGTTTTTACAGCTATCCATAGTTATCGAGGTGAGTTACCTTCCAGTAGAAGTGGGTCGAAGACACTAATGTCGGCCCACAAGTAGTTGATTATAATTGAGATGATTTTTTTTGTGATAATTGTCTGGTATGTCATTATCTGTTATGCTTTATGTGCTAGTATGTTATGATTTTATGTGATACTGGTAGGAGGGGTAGGATAGTCCCCGGTTACCGGTTGAAAAAGATCGAAGGGGTAGGCCAACACCCAGATATGTTAGGCGGTTACCAGTTGAAAGAGATCGAAGGGGTAGGCCAATACCAAGATATGCTAGGAAGTAGGAGATTTATATGTATATGCTAGGATATTATGTGGTAATGGTAGGGGTGAAATGGTCCCCGGGTACCGGTTGAAAGAGACCGAATGGGTAGCCCAACACCCAGATATGCTAGGCAGTTACCGGTTGAAAGAGACCGAAGAGGTAGGTCAGCACCCATATATGCTAGGCGGTTACCGATTGAAAGAGACCGAAGGGATAGACCAGCACCCAGATATGCTAGGTAATATGTTATTGTATGGTATGTGGTATGATGGGGGAACTCACTAAGATTTGTGCTTACGGTTTTCAGTTTTAGTTTCAGGTACTTCCTCTTCGAAGGGGAAGGAGTCGGTATGATCGCAGCGCATCACACTTCATTTTCCGCACTATGGGATTTTTAGGATTTTGTACTCTGACATTATTTTACTATGACATGTTTTGATTTATATGACTTATGGGTTTTTATGATATGATATGACTTTGAAGATGTTTCCAATAATCTGTTTGGTAAATTAAAAATAAAATTTTTGGTCTTAAATTTTAGGATGTTACAAGTTGGTAACAGAGCCTTGGTTTGAGGGATTCGGGCATGCTTTCGGGTGTCTCTGAACTCAAACTGAGGACTTGGTATAAAATTTTTAAAAGAAAAACCATTTTTACAAAAGATTTTGAAAAGAAAAAGAACAAGGAGTGTGATGCGTGCAATCGGTCGTGCTTAAGTGAGTTTTATCCCAAGATACCCATACATGTTATGTTATGTTATGTTATGTTATGTTATGTTATGTTATGTTATGTTATGTTATGTTATGTTATGTTATGTTATGTTATTTTATGTTATGTTATGTTATGTTATGTTATGTTATGTTATGTTATGTTATGTTATGTTATGTTATGTTATGTTATGTTATGCTAGATTAGGTCTAAGGATCTAGGAAGGATGTCTTATATGCCTATTATATATGTATGAGAACTGCATGCAAGATTAGGGTTGAGGATCTAGGAAGATGCCTTATATGCCTGTTATATGTGCTTATCGAAATGTATGATAGTACTGACTAGTCAGTGATATGATAGCTTGTTTAGAATATGCTTGGTTTGGGTTACTCAATGCCCGAATGTTGCTTGTTTTGTGCTTTTATGAGTCCTAGTTACCTTTAATTAACTAGTAAACAAATACGTTAAGTTACATATTACGAGGACAAAATAGTTTTAGAAGGTTAGGTCTAGCATAATTTCGTAGCTCTTGTCTGAGTCCAACTATTGTAGGCTAGGGCCTTTCGTTTGAAGAATTATCTGATCTTAGTAATATATAATGGTATTTGCGAGCTAGTTAGGAAGAGATAGCAGAGACTTCTTATGCAGCTGATGGCAGAGAGTGGGTCGAAGATTACCCTAAGATAAACCCAGGATGCGATTAGCACAGAGATCAGTAGTAGTGAAAGGGACTTGGAGTCAAGGAAATTATTGAGGAAAGTACGGATAGATGTGGAAGGTAGTATGGGCCCGTACTACTCTGAGATTAAACCAGGGAACTCTTCCACCATTTTCGATTTCTATAATCATTTTTTATTTTTAGAACCATTTTTCAACTTGATATTGGTTTTCATTACAAGTATCTAGCAACTCTTCCACCAATAATGAAAGTGCTTTTATTTTCTACGATATTATATGTTTCATTACTTGTCTATTTAGTTGTATGGCAATCTTCATTTCTATTTGTTAAAGTAAATTACTGAAATTATCTTAGTGTTTTGATCAAAATTGTACATTTCATTTCTTCTTCTTTTTTTTTTTTTTTTTTTGCTTTCGAACCGCACATGTGGTTTCTTTCTTGCGATTTTCGTCCCTAATTGACATGAAAAAGCTATTATATTCTTAATATATATTTTTATCTAATTTAAAAAATCATAATATAACGTTATTAAAAGGTCAATAAAGTACAACTACTTTAAGCTTAGTTACAACTACATCTGTGCACCTAACCCCGTTCTTCAATCTAATATTCTCCTTCTTCAAACGCCACTAAACTCCACCATCAAACACCACCTCCACCACCACTAGTATCATTTTTTGGTGTTTGACTTGTTTTTGGGCATGCTTTTCTGGGCATTGAAGGGTTAAGCATCGATAACGGAGGTTGATGGTGTTTGAGCAGGCTTAATTTATGGGCTTGAGCACCTGAAACTGGTTTGTTTTTTTATTTTGGGTCAATTTCTAGGTTTGAGCATATTCAAACTCCTGGTTTATGCATCAAACAAACAAAATAAGAACGTATTGGTTGTGGTCGTTAGTAGTGGTGCTAGTTTATGATAGTGTGGTGGG